GAGAGGAGAGGGAGAGGGGGAGGGAGAGGAAGGGGCTACAGTCCAATTTACCCTTCATGGGTATATCCCCAGTGACCTATTTCCTCCAACTAGATTCTGGCTCCTAAATGCCATCAGCTGGGGACCAAGCCTTTAACACAGGAGCTTCTGGGGGACATTTAAGATCCAAACCAGAGCTGGAATGGTTGTTCACACCTGTAATCCCAGCACCCTGAGAATGTGAGGCAGGAAGAAGTTCTAGCCTGGGCAACTTAGTGACTTAGTGAGATCTTGTCTATCTATATATTGCACTGGGGGTTAAATCCAGGGCCTTCACACTGAGCTACATCTCTAAACCTCTCAAAAAAAAATGTTTTTTAATAAATGTTAGGACAGGGTCTAAGTAAACCCCTAAATTGCCCCGGCTGGATTTGAACTTTTGGTCCTTCTGCCTCAGCCTCCAACAGTTCTAGGATTACACGCATGAACCACAACACCCAGCTATAAGAAAAGACGAGAAAAGGGCTGGGGGTGAAGCTCAGTGCGATGGCTCTGTGTTCAGTCCTCAGCACTGGATAAAATCAATCCAAACCAAAACACAGTCCAAGAATGCTACAACAAGAGATCATTCCTCAAAGGCCATCAGGAGCTGTTATGGGGGGGGGGCAGTTACTACACGTTCTACATCTTATCCTTTCACCAGTCTGCAGGCACTAGGGGGACAGCAGATTCTGCTGTTTTATTCACTCCACATCTGCCAGCACCCGAGAAGCGTCTGGCAGCCTGGGCCTGGCTCAGTGAACCATAGCCGAATTCTAGAATGTTGAAAGACTCCTCTTTGTGCTCCTAATCAACAACCACAATGTCTGTGCTGATTGAATGGATAGGATAGTGGGGGAAAAACTGGGTGAGGGTGTTTTCCTCAGAAACCAGTGCACCCTGGGATCAAAGAAATAACTGTGTTTGGCTGGACCTGGTAGCAGGCAGGTGATAGATAAGTCACTATTTTCTGGTGTGATAAGACTAATAATCTAGACAAATGGCATAGATGGGCTAATGATTTCTGCTGGCCAGCTAATACCTTTAAATCAGCATGAAGGAGACAGAGGAGTCACGAGTCGCTTGTCACATTACCCTGGTGAGGGGATACCTCATCTGCCATACTGGTCTTGTCCTTGTGTCCACGCATTGCTCGTACCTCACCAGGACGCCTGACGCTCCTGGCATCTGCCATACTGGCTTGCAGAGGCCTGTGGCTTGATTTGATATCCTGCCAGGCTCCTCACAGAGGGATTAGGAAATCCAAGAGACAAGCTCTCCACCAAGGTGTGCCCCGAGAAAGTTCAGCTCTCCGGCTTTTAGTGACCATGTCTAGAGAACAGTCAACCTTGCTTTGCATCTGGTGAAGTGTGAAGCAAGCAGAATCATATGCGTGGGTGTTTCATCTGGAATTCTGTTTATATCTGGAGTCCCCCCAAAGCCACATGGACTCATAGGGAGGGCATCTGGGATGTGATTGGACCACAGAGATATGATATTCACTGGTGGATTAGTCCTTTGATGAACTTACAGCTAAAAACAACATTGGGAGGAGGTTGTCATTGCAGGCGTGGCCTGGAAGGGTTTATCTCCCACCCTCCTCCCTTGATCACTCTCTGCTTCCTGCCTACCAGGCCAGGAGCAATTAATTCTCCTCTGCCATGCCACCCTGCCTTGGAGCCACCTGACTGTGGACTGGAACCTCTACAAATTGCGACCCGAAATAAACCCTTCCCCCTTTAAGTTGGGGTGTCAGGCATTGTATCTCAGCGATGACAAAATAACTCAGACAAACTCTTTTGGTGTGAAAGACAGAACACAATTCAAACCGGCTTCCATGAAAGAGCAACTTTATTGGCTCCTCCTGAGCAGTCCAGTGGCAAATCTTCTTTCAGGTATGGTTGCCTCCGGTGCAGTATATTCTCCCCTTCCCCTTATACTGAGCTCAGTCCTTAAGTGGTACCTCTCACATACCTCCAGCATCTTTTTTCCAACTGTACCTTTCCAGCAGAGCTGAGAGAGACGGTGGTCAGCTCAGTCAGGGTCAATGGCCTAAGCCTTATGCTAACCAATCTCTGTGCAAGGAAGCTTGGTAGATCTTACCTATGTGCTTAACTTTCAGAGCTGGGAAGAGTAGGATGAGGGCTGGGAGCCCCAGCTTACCTCATGGGAGAGAATACCCCAGTTTACCAAGATTGGGAGAGTGCAGCTCCCCAAAAGTTATTAATAGGAAAAGGCTAGGCTGCTGAAATGACAAATGCACCTGCCACTGGGGATTTTCTATCATGTGATAAAAGCATGTATTGCACATTCCCTCTGTTGAGAAGTCTCCTTATCCAGCTATGCTTGCAGGTGCCTTAGGAGCAGCCACCTCACCACATAGTCATCTGTCTTCCTCCTCTGCACCTTGGCAGCCCACAGGACCCCATCACTCATCCGCAACAGGCTGTGGGGGTCATCAGTTATCTCTTCATGTGTATGTTCCATGGCAGGATCCTGGACAGCAGGGGTCACATCTTATTCATCTTGTGTCCCCTGCAGGGGCACAGCAGATAGTCCATAAACCTGCTGACAGATCAAACCTGATTTATATGCTTCTAGAGCAACGGAGGTAGATGGTTATCTTGGTTCAACTACAAATACAAAACTATGAGGACAGCCATGTTCACACCGTTTTGCAAAGATTGCACATCTTTTTGGACTAAATAACGCTGCTTGGGTCAAGATGAACATCCTCTCTGCTCCCCAGTCCCAGCTGCTGAAATCATTTCGAGTTATAAAAATCGGAGGGAAGGCCCAAGGAATCGTGGTCCCAGCTGCCCAGCCCCCTGGGCAGGTCATACTCAGATAGGTAAACATCCTCACTTGTCAGGGGGAAAGGCGCAGGGGATGCAAGGTGGCAATCAGACGAAGAGGAGGCAGATGTGTGTCCTCCGTGGCCTCCACTCAGGCAATAAGCCAGAGCCCCAGGGTCCCATCGGTGGGATTGGCCCCTGCCTCTCTGACTTTCCCTGATTCCTGTCCACTTTCTATACTTATTGGCATCCCTGACATCCCAGCACAGAGCACAGGGCAAGAAGAGAAGGGTGGGAAAACGGGGTCAGAATCCCTCCCACGTCAGTCTGTTTCCAGAAGCTCTTGTGGCACGGGTTTCACAAACACCCTTCAGACCACCTGGGCCAGGCGATTTGTCTCTTTGGCTCTCATTCCCACAAACCGCACTCAAAAAGGCCCTGTGTCTTATCCAAAGCGGGGCAGCCAAGCCTTTGTCCTCTCGTTTGTAACCTGAGCCCACTGATAAGAGGATTGCGTGAGCGAGCCATAGAGCGCAGTCACTAAATATCATACTAACGGGGTAAGGACGAGAAAGTGCGGCTCGTGATGGAGGGCTGGTAGGAGGTTTGGAGGGTGGCAACTGGAGCGGTGGAGAGAGGAATCAGGCCCAGGGAAGAAAAGGGGGCAAAACAAGACCGGCGTGAACGAGCGGAACAAAAGCTCCCCAGCAATCAACCACCTGCTTCCGAGACACTAGCAGCCAGGGAGGGGGGAGTAGGCGGTGCGCAGGCCGAGGCCACGCCCACCAACCTAGCCCCACCCCTTCGGCGCTCCAGAGCCGCCCAGTCTCCGACCACCTCCGGCGCGCTCCGACCTGAAGCCCCGCCTCCC